CACACACACCTACACGCACACACACCTACACGCACACACACCTACACGCACACACACCTACACGCACACACACCCCGCAGGTGACAGCCCCCCCTGCCTCGCAGGGATGGGAGCACCGGCACCCTCAGGACCGGGAGCCTGTGTGGACAGACACCCATCCTTGCCCAGGCTGTAGTCTCCCTGCCACGTCCTTAGGAGACACGAGGAAAAAGGGAAAAGAAGTGCATCATGCTTTTTTTCTAATACGGATTATCGGAAGTCTCTCTGACACTCTCCCCACCTGCCCTCAGGAGTGGCCAAAACCATCACGGCTGTCCCCGCTGCCAGGATTGCTGCCATACCCCTTACCCTTTCCCAAACCCAGCCTGATCCTGCTGGGAGATCTCCTGGAGCCCATAATGGTCCCCAGGTGCCCATACCCTCATCCATCACCATCCCCTGCTCCATCATCATTCCTCCCCCCCCGCCCCTCCCGCGAACCTGGCTGTTCCCTGGGGGGGCAAGCGGAGCTGTAGCTCACCTCCAGCCAGGGTGACCAGGCACAAGGCCCTCAGCACAAGCAGGATCTGGACAGAAACAGCCTTCATGTTCCCGTGGTCTGCAGGAGGAAGGGTACGCAGAGAAGGATTACTGGCAGTATTCCCCGCTCCCGGCTGCTTATTGCATCCTCCGGAGCAACACAGCTGCTGCCGCTCATTCCGGGATTATAAAGCCCTGAGATTGGGGTTTCAGATGGTATTCAGCTCCCTCACACGTGGCTCAGGATGACGACAGGAGGCGGAGGGAAGAGAGGGACAGGGGAGGGAATGCCGGCTGCTCTGGCGCTGGATGGCCGCTGGAATTCCCCAGATGCAGAGAAGCTCCAGCCTACTTGGCAAATTATTCATGCAGGGGCTTTCACGGATCGGCTGCTCCATCCTCCTCTCTCACTAATGTGAGTCTTGTCCAGACAGCCTGTGCCATGGCACCGCTGCCCTGAGGCTCTGTAGAGCTCTCCCCACCTCCAACTACAGCTCCCCACTGCTCAGTAAACTCATTCTTTACTTCAAATGCAAAAGCAGTTATTCCCTTTCTTTTTAGCAGCCATCTTATAACAGCAGCGTTGGTCGTTAGGCCAAAAGGGGTGGAATTTGCTAATCAGGATTAAGAGTTCATCAGCTACACTGGTGAGCTCAGGCCAGGCTGGCTCTAAGCAGCATCACCAAACAGAGGGGTGAGCAGGGACCCAGTGACCACCCCAAGCGGCAACTTGTGCCCTGGCCCTGCTGTCTGCAGCCTGTCCTTGCTGTGACAGCCCTGGCTTTTGACATACACGGGGGCTCAGCCGTGGGGGGCTTGCTGATGCTGAAAGCAGGAGCAGAAAGCAGGAGACCCCCAGTTTTGCAAGAGCCAGGCTGTCTGGGGGCTCTCCGGCCCCAGCACCAAGCCGGGTCTGAGGCGGACATACCAACAGTGCAGTCACATCCTGCACCTTTACTTTCTCTTTCAACTCAGGTCCCAGCAGAATACGTAACTGTTTTCCTCTGCCAACTCCCTCAATTGAAAGATGAAGATAAGATTAAGACTGAGGCTGTGACTGCCCTGTTTATCTCTTTGCCCTAAGTTTTCTTAGGGGTGGTGGAAAACTGGCATCTCCATGCTGTTGGAAATGCCAATAGCTCCACTTGGGATTTTATTTTTAGAAAGGGAAAAAACCCAGATTTCCATACAATGCATTTGGTGAAAATCCCAGCCTGTGACTTCAGCCTTTGCTTATATTGTATTATAAGAAAGAGCCCATTTCAAGGAAATAAAATAAAAACTAGAAGTTGAAATAGTCTGTTTGATCCAGCCAAAACAGATTATGCTGCTGGGACATTTTCAGACCCCTTCCCCAAACAGGTGTTTTCTCTGGCTCTGCAGAGATTTATGGGAAACTTTTTTTCCAGGAACTGGCATTGCCTGAAGCCATGGGGCACCTTGGCTGCTGGAAGTGATGTCACAGCCCACACACTTTCACATCTCCCCCCGGAGAAACAGGTTCTGCTTCTTCTGCGAAGGGTTTGCTGCCAGCGATGGATAAAACTGAGGAAGGGCTCTGGCATGCAGGTAAGTGGGAGGGAGGCTCCTTTGTTTGCCAAAGGCATGACTTCCCACAGGCATTGTTGTTTTAAGGCACAAACCACTCTCTGGCAGGTAACACAGCTGCTTTACCAGCACAGACAGGGCTGGAGGGACCAAGCAGCTCTAATGAGTGGTGACAGACCTGGGCTGCAGCTGGCAGAAAACTGCCACCATCACTCCCAACCCACTTCCTACACCACCCTCCCATCCCGTTGCACAGCTGCTCCTCCAGCACACCAGTGCCAGCCTCTTACTGCACTTCTTTGAGGTCTTGCAGCATTGAAGAACCTGAAGTCAGAGGACCTGTACTTAGTGATAAACCACAGGCATTGTGTTGATCTGTCAGTGAAGGATCTCAGGACTTCCCTGAGCTCATCTCACCTTCAGCTGATTTTAGCTTCTTTAGTTGCAGCAGAAATTATCTGAGCACTTGATTTGGTTTTGCTTTAGCTTTTAGGAATGGCAGGTAGTTGTTCAGTATTGTGGGTCTGGGTCTGTAGATTAAATTGTGATGTGGATGAGGGCAGGCAGGTGTCCTTCTACACCAGCAATCCCAGCCCATAAAGATGACTAACAGCATCCAAGTGATGGAGTGTGCAACCCTGCAGCTCAGGGACAACCAGCTTTCAGGGAAACAAAGAGCAGAAAACTGAGTAACTGGGAACCAGAGAGTGCAGACTGTGCTAAAATAATGAATGAAAAAGTTGACCAAGGCTGAAGAGGAAGAGAGCCCACCATGAATGTCATATCCTTCCAGTGAAAGCAGGGGCTGGAGCAGCCCAGCACAGCCCAGCACATCCCATTCTTCCTTAGGAGGCTTCTCGAGGTGACCCTTCCCACCCAAAGGCTCTCTGGAGGGGTGTCATGGCACCAAAGAAAAGCAGTGTATAGCAGGAAGATGGTTGGTTTCCCCCCCTCCTCCAGATAATAACCACAGTATGACTGGGGAAGGACTTTGGCCTTATTGCTCCAGCCCACAGATACCGCAAGTCAAAGGTCCAGATCCCATCTTACCCAGGAAAACCACGGAAGCAGCTCCAGCATTTCCCACCCACCACAGGGCTGTTCACAGAGTCAAGGTCCTCCCAGGTGGAGGGAACACATGACTGGTGCAGGGGCAGTTGCTCTTGAAGGCAAAAAGCACCTTGACCCTGCAAAGCTTTATGTGCAAGACGATATATAAAAAGAACGTGGGCTGTGTCCTAAACAAACAGGAAACAGCCCCAGAACATGTCCCGTCTCTTTCAGGGAGTTTCCATTCTGGAAATTTGTGCTCCTTGGCTGTTTTGGTTTCTTGTGCAAGAAGGGCTGTTTGTTACAGTAGGTTTGTGTTCCTTGAAATCTGGTGATTACAGGGGGAAAAGTAAAAGTCAGTGAGAGCTAGGAGCCTGTATCTGACCCAGAAAAAGATGCCAGAGAGGATCAGATGAGAATGCTGATGATTTCCACTTCATGGAAAGTCTCTTCAGGAGCTCCCAAGACCTCACGAGTTGGTGACACTGGAGCAGGGTCTGGTAGCAGGTATTGACAGCATCCTTTGCTGTCCACAATATTGTCCATGATCGCCATCCCGGAGGCTTGCAGGAATACTTAGCTTTTGGGAAGACCCAGCCAGTCTCGATGCTGCAAGGGAGATGGGCTGACACATGACTGGAGAGAGAGACATACCATGAGATTCTCTTTCCCCTGATAAGGCTCCCATCTGCCTTGTGCCAGCTCATCCTTGCACCAGCCCACCTCTCCTCGGCGGGGTTGGCAGCTCAGCCACTGCTCTGACACAATCCCCCTGCACCTGAGCCCAGGAGCACGAGACTGAAGGGACCTAAAGCACCACCCCGGTGGCAGAGCTCCCACACTCACCAGAGCTGGGCTTCTCTCTCCAGGAGCACAGAAGCAGCAAGATCTGGGAACCAGGGCTGGTGGGGCACCTACTGCAGATGAGGCCAGTGGGTGCAGCTGGTTCCTGGATGTGAGACCAGATTCCCAGACTTCAACATGGAGAAACACCAATGGTTTTTCCAATGACACAGCAATGGGTTCTATGGCCCAGAGCAGTCCAGAACCGACCCACCAACCTCCTCTCTCCTGGCCAAGGACACCAGTGCCAGACTCAGGAGAAAGTTCCTTGGAGCCAAAGGTGGCCTCTCACTTTGGAGAAGCCTCTGTGCTCCTCAGGGAGCTCTTGAGCTGTTACTGTAAAAAGGGAGCAAATAAAAGACAGAGGACCAAGCGAATCTGTTTGGCAGCTCAAGACTTTGTATTTTCTCACATTAACGAAAAAAGCAGGAAATGAGGAGCAGCTGTCTGGGGCTGTCTGCAGCCAGGTCTCTACAGGAACAACTCCTACTTTGGAACTCTACAGGAACAACTCCTACTTTGGAACTCTACAGGAACAATTCCTGCTTTGGAACTATCAATAAGTCTGGGACTTGCATTTTACAAAAACTGCTTTACATAGAAAATGTTTTCAAAAATAGCAGCTAACATGACACTGGCTTTCACTTCTCTGAACATAATGTCTTCCTCCTTCACTATGAATAAGAGCAAATTTGGGCTCCAGCAGACAAAGCAGAACACTGGTATTCTGTACTTTCCATAGTGAAGTAGCCCACAGCTATGTCAGTCAGCACTCCTGAGGCAGCCAGGTTGTGGGACACAGCTCTTCCCCTGGCAGCATCACGCCTGAGCTGCAAACTGTTGGCTGATCCCAGCAGGACATTGTAGAGAAAGGTGCATACTTGCAGTGGGAGTTGTTGCCTCTCCTTGTGAGCTGGATCAGCCAGGACTGAGGACAACTCCTGGTCCTGCCCCATGGAGGCTGCCAAGGGCTTCACTGGCTGCTGCAATAAACACGTTTGAAGTTGTTTGAAAATACTGTGTGCAAAGAAACAAACATTGAGCTGTTCAGTCTGCAACATCGTCAAGTTCTTTCTAAACAGAGAAGAGCTGCTCGACCCTGCAGAGCGACACAGCTGCTGGGAGCAACCTCTTCCCTAGGGAAGGGGATGGGAAAGGCTCTTGTGGGGAGGTGTGTCTGGATGGCACAGGTGGAACCTTGGCAGGTGTTCAGCTGAGGGGAAGGAGCGTGCTGGGACTCTGCCAGAGTGGACTTCACTGAACACACCGAGCCCCTGCACAGCTGGGGAGATGTCCTGGTGTTGCAATGGGAAGACATCCCGGTGTTGCAATCCTTGTGCAAGGATTGAAGGCCACAGTTCCATGAACTGGCATGGTGAAGGAGAGACACATGATCCTGCATCCAGCTCTGGGGGCCTCGAGCATAAGAAGGACATGATGCTGCTGGAGAGAGTCCAGAGACCACAAAGATGCTCTGAGGGCTGGAGCAGCTCTGCTGTGGAGACAGGCTGGGAGAGCTGGGATTGTTCAGCCTGGAGAAGAGAAGGCTCAGGGGAGACCTTAGAGCCCCTTCCAGTACCAATGGGACTTCAAGAGAGCTGCAGAGGGACCTTTGACAAGGGCATGGAGTCACAGGACAAGGGGGAATGGCTTCAAACTGACAGAGGGCAGGTTTAGATTGGATATTCAGAAGAAATTCTTCCTCGTGAGGGTGGTGAGGCCCTGGCACAGGTTGCTCAGAGAAGCTGTGGATGCCTCATCCTTGGAAGTGTTCAAGGCCAGGTCAGATGGGACTCTGAGCAACTTGGTCTAGTGTGAGGTGTCCCTGGCCATGGCAAGGAGGTTGGATTAGATGGCCTCTAAAGTTCCCTTCCAACCTAAGCTGTTCTGAGATTCCATGATCTGTTGAAGGGTGGTCTCTTACTACTGCCCTGCAGGGAAGAGAGTGGAGAGCAGCAGTAGGGTTGCTCAGGAGGGCATGACAGAAGCCTCCATGCACCACAGGAGACCACAGGTGCTGCCACAGCTGCTGCCAGGCTCTCCCTTGGCACAGGGGTGGCTGTGCTGAGCTTGGTCCCAGGGCAGTACAGGGGGCTCTCCCCTCCTTTGCATCCTGGAATAGGGTCTTACCAGAGACCTTGTGGATGCAGATAGAAGATGGGGAGCAGCAAAGCACCATGGCTCTGCTGTTTCACCTCTGCCAGAGCCTGAGGCCAGGCTAGTGCCTGCTGCCCTGGCTGTAGGAGAGGATAAGTTATGTGCCTCTTTGCAGCAGCCTCGGTTACTTCCCCTATTCCTCCCTCCCACGGCAGCAGGAGCAGCAAGTGCCTGTGCCAGCAACCCCTTGTCCTGGAGAGCTCCTTCTCCTGGCAGGAATGGCCCCAGCCCTTTACTTGGGGTGCTGTGATTTCCCCTCTCCTGCAGAGCCAGCCCTGTGGCCCCATCCCACTGCGTGCATGGGCCTGCACCATCACCACCTCTCCAGTGTCCCCTTCCCACTCCTCCATCCTGTGGATGTGTCTGCACACGTTTGCTGTCAGTTCCTAAGAAAGGTGCCTACCAGAAGCAGCTCTGTTCATTGCCTGTTCTTGAAAGCCTCACCTCTTCCCATCTCCCCCAGGCAGGAGAAGGCTGTGCACCTTTGACATGAGCTTGTCATTAAGGTGGGTGAAGGAGAGATGCAGAAAATCTCTGTGACTGTGCTGGGGGCCATTGGGGCCAAGGTCTGAGCTGAGCCCTTCCATCACAGCAAGTTTACTTTAGAAGGGGACATCAGAGACTCCAGGGCTTTCAACATCCAAGGAGCCTTTACAAGAAGCAGCACAATAAACACACAAGGGCTGGGCAGGAAAACAAAGCCAGGCACACACTTCCCTGCTCAGGCACTTAACCATTTTCAAGCCTTGCTGGCTCAGCTGAGAGACCAGGGAGTCACTGGACCCCTTCCCTCCCAACCCCAGCTTCTCTGCACCCTTGTAAGAACAAAGTGTATCCTTCTCCTCTGCCTAGAGCCTCCAGACTCCTGTGGGTTTCAGCTATAACCCCACTAGTAACCTGCTCCCACAGCAGTGTATTTAGATGACCAGAGTCAGCCTGGCCCCAGGGGAGCACACTTTTGTCTTACCCAAGCTTTCCTTCTGGGACCATGGCAGCATCACACCTCCCCACCACTTGGTGCAAGAGCTTCTTAGGCTCCTGACCTGTGGCTGTGGTGTGTGTTTTTAGGGTCAATGCAGCTGTCTTGTCTCCTAAAAGAACAACAGGCTACAGATGCCAGCCCTTAGCAGTTTTGTGTTGGCTGGGAATAATTAGAAAAGAGGGTGTTGGGGATAAGAAAGAGAGATTCCTACCCTGGGCTATGGTTCCTCATATCAACCTGAGGAGGTAGCACAGGAGAACTGAAGAAAGCAAAGATGAAGCATATCTTGGATTTCAAATGTTGTTTGGGGAACAACTTCCCCCCAGGACAGAGCTGATCTCAAACCAGGGCTGTGAGTGAAGGCAGTCCTGTTCACACCTGTGTGCCAAAACCAAATTAACTGTCTGTACGAAGAGCTGATGTGCCAAAGTCCCTTCTCACTGACCTGGACCATAGCCCAGAGTCCTCCCCAGGGACATCCTCCCTGTCCAACCCCAGCCCACACCTCCAGAGAGCTGCAGTTTCACCCACTCCAGGCCACTGGGATGAAATTTGGGGACCAACCCGACTGCAGGCAGCAGGACCCCTCGAAGACCCCCCGAGCTGTGACAGAAGGGAGGGGATGGAGCAAAGGCTGCCTCTGGGAGAGGTGCAAGGCAGTGGTGCAGCTGACCCCTGTGAGCCCCCCGGCCACCTCCGACAGGCATCCGCTGAGAGGAAAGACCCCCATCAGCAGAGGATGCGCCGCTTCCCCCGGGCGCCCACCGGATGGCTGATAAGGAAAAACCCACCCATGCCTGGCCTGCAGGAATGGCCCTTCACTGCCCTGCCAGCCCTAAGGTGACAGGGGCCATGCAGAAGGGACACGTGTCCTTTCCTGCCCTATGAAAGGGTCCTACTCTCCCCAGGGAGCTCACACCACCCTCTGCCCCCAGGGAAGGCTCCTGCGGAGTTTCCTGAGCTGGAAGGGCCTCTGCCTCTTGCTGCAGCAGAGGATGCCATCGTGTGGCAGTTATTGCTTCCTCGGCTAAAAATTGCTGCTTCCATCCTGGAGTTAATGAGCAAAATCCTCTGTCCTGTTTAAGTGTTCCCATAGCACCATTGCAGGGTGCTGGTAACTAGGAGCTGGTATGGGTGAACCAGGGCTCCCAAACACTGACCTCCCTCTGCATCCCGGACACCTCCAGGGGCTGGGATTCTCCCGCAGCACAGGAGAGGGACCACCAGGACAAGCCCAGCCCGTGGAGCAACCAGGCTTCTGCAGATCCCAAACAGGAGCTGCACCCACACCTGGAGAGGCCACGAGGAGATGAGTTCAGCACTGCTGTGTCATTTCCTGCTCACTGAGATGCAGGACACAGATAAACATCCCTGCTCCGAGGGCGCTGGGACTTTCACCACAGGACAATGGGCTGACCAAAAAGTTAAAAAAAGAACTTTCTCTGCTGGCTGCTTATGTCACCCTGGATGTTACTTATTTTCCTTTTCCACCATCCCCCCCCCCATTCACTTCACCCTCATCTGGCTGCTCTCCCACCTTGCTTTTGCAGCAACAGGTTCTTCCAAGAACAGCTCTTCCAAGCTGTATCCCAGGGCCTGCAGGGCAGGAAGCTGCAGGCAGGCTTCTCCAAGTTGTCAGCTAAAGTATTTCAAGGGAAAGCCATTTCTGGGAAAGGGTTAAGCCAAGCCCCTGGGAAGCTCATAACCAGCAGCCTCGAGGCACCCTCTGGGGCTCAGCAGGTGCTGAGGGGTTTCCAGTGGCAGCAGCTTGAGGTGGGATGTGTGACCAAGACCACGTGCCACCATCCCACGTGGTGGATGTCCTGGCCCCTCCTCAGTCACCTAGCGGTCCTCGCTTCTCCAGAGTATGTATTACCACATTTCATATAAAACCAATATTAAATACAGTGCAGAGAAGCAGCAGGAGCTGCAAAGAGGCACTGAGAGGATTTTCCTTTTTCTGTAGAGAGACCCAAGCGCTGATTTCTCTGCAACTGGCCCACACAGCGAAGGCTCTTCCTCCCTCATCCCCTCAGAGGGACATCACTGGCTATTTGTTTTTACTCCATCCATGAGCAGGTGCACACTGTGAAGGTCGGGGTGTTCCAGCACTGACACTGACTCACACTTCCTGCGGCAGAACAGGAGCTCAGGAGCAGAGACACGCGTGAGCTTTGGCCAGTGGCAGGCTCTGAGCTCTCTCCTGCCTCAAGGTCCGGGTCAAATCCTCAAGCTCTGCCTGGATGGTCTGTAACACCTGAGGAGAGGAAGGGCTGGGCTCTGCCCACTCACTGCCCAGGCTCCGTCCACACACAGATCCGGTTCCGCCCCCGTTCCAGGTTCCCTCCATTGTCTCCCGGTTCCGCTGATTTCTGTGAAACTGCCAACGTGGAGACAATGATTGATCACTGCCTTGATGTGAGCACAGTCACCCCAGCAGGTCCTCAGCTGGCTTATGATCTTCCAGGTTATCCACAGCCTCCAAGTAGCCTATGGTGGTTCAGGCAAGACTGGACACTACAGCAAGTGAATCCTCAAGGAGAAGTGGGAACTACCTGTCCTCAGGTAAAGGAAATTACCCGTCCTCGGCCTCCTCACAAGTCTTATGAGGAGTGGCTGAGGGAGCTGGGGTTGTTTAGCCAGGCACAAAGTCACGTCAGGTCAGCCGCTCTTGCAAAATGAGGCAGCCAGGTGACATTTGCTTTCCTCCTGTTACCACCAGAAAACTTGTGAAGAGTAATAAAGGACAGTTTGGATATTAATAGAGTTTTGGTTAGTAATTTCTATTGCATAGTAAAATAGAATAGAAAATAACAAAACAGATACAGTAATCATAGCACATATATATGTACCACTTTTAGAAGTTACAGGTTGATCTTACAACAGTTCTTAATTGTGTCAGAAGCTTTTATGTTAGTCTTTTGTTTACTCACTCTTGACCCATTTCAGGAACCTTATTGCAGTCCAAAACTCTGTCTTGGTGTATTTCACTTGCAGTTGTTAAGACATTTGTTCACTTCTGCACAAAAGCCATTTCCATCGATATCACTTTGAGTTCTGGTGGCACAGTTTCCAAGGCTGTCTGCTGAAATGGACTTTCTGCAAACAGTCATCTTCTGACACACTGTTAGTTCACATCGAGAGCAAAACAGTGGCCCCCTTTTGATTTTGCCACAGCCCCCCCGAGATCAATCAGGGCACAGAAGGCAGGAATATTCCCAGGCTGTGAGCCTGAAACAGGCCTAGAGCACACAGGGGCCAATATAGGCAGCTCTTCTCCCCCCCCCTTTTCGTGTTAGCCAGTTTAACAGCTAACACAGTTTAACAGCCACAGCGGTGGCCGGCCGGTCCATAGGACAGTGCTGGTCACTCAGCCTTCAGGGAGTGGGCCAGAGCACATTTTAGGCAAGCTTCCCTTTTGAATTTCCCTTCTCACTGTTGAAAAATGTATCTTTCCTGGTGTTCAGCCTTCTGAGCTCTTCTTCGGCCGAGAAACAAAACTGCTCTGTTCAGAATTTAGGCAGTCCAACTGCCTTCAAACTTCCTGGGAAACACAAAAACTTTCGCAGCTGCTAACAGAAAGGTACCTCTATCCCTTATTTCCACTTTCTCTTACCTCACCTCCTTGCGCTCCTCGTGGTGTTCTGTGGAGCTGGGGCTTCCCTAGATCACTGCGGGAATTCTCCAAAATTGCCGGCTGATGAAGAATTCCCACAGGATGAAAGTTTCCAACCTGGAGTAGCCTCAGGTCTCTGCTTTCCCCGTACGGGCCACCAGCTGTTGCCTAAAGAAAATGCAGGGAGAAAAAAATTCTGAGGCAAATTAGTTTTGGAGGTGAGATAAGGAAAGGGGTTTAATTTGTGCCACCGAGGCACAGAGATTACACGACAGGCGCGTCCCTTCCGTGCCTGAGATGTTACAATTTATAATACTGCCCGACCAATCCAAGTTTTGTACAGCTCGTAGCTTTTGCTCTGCTCCACTCCCTGGCCCACCCCCTGGGAACTGGATCTGGAGGCTTTTCTTCATCATCTTCATCTTCTTCAGAGCACAAAGGGTACACGCTCACCTAGTTTGTGTTCTGTGGTTCAGGCCAAGATATGAGCATTCTCTAAACAGCATAGGCCTTGCCTTGGCAAAAGACTAAACATTTTCTACTGGGATTCAGGGGTAGAATTGATATGGGAACATAGAATGGGGTAAGAGGGTTGAAGAATGTGTAAACTACTGTGCTAAAGGGTAAAGGAATAAGGGCTGCTGCTTCTAAAATCTACTTCTACTTATATAATTACTTATAAAGCTTATAAAAATTAGAAAAACCAAAAAGCTAGAAGAATCTTAAGGCATCAGGGGGCAAGGTAAGAAATGCCATCAGGTGTGTTTTGTGGCTCATTTGCACCCACAGCAAAAGGCTGTTTTGGCTCAGGGACTGTTTATTCTGGGGTTTTACATCTGTGAAACTTAACTTGGCCACTTAAACATGGTTTAATGATGAATCAAACCATCATTCCCATGGGGTGGGAAGGCATTGTGGTCTCCACTTCTGAGGAATGCCACAGCCTGGAGACACCGGTGTGTCCTTTGGGTCTGCCATGAACGGGATTCTGGATTTCCAGAGTTCCATTGTTGCTCCTTCCAGGTGAGCTGAGACGTGGCCACTGGCAGGACTCGTCCACCCACAGCATCCTCCAGGATGGCTTCTGGATTCCAGGGCACAGAGGTGAAACCTCATATTCCAAAGCTGACCAGAGAGGCAGAGAAGCCTGTAATGGTAAGTACCCACTGTGGCTGGGTGGCAGTTGTGTTAAGGCTGGAAAGTCTCTGTGTCCCTCCTCTCCCTGCCCCTCCCGTTGTCCAGCAGCACTGTGGAGCTACAGACCCCTCCCCACCTCTTTGTGCTGTTGGCAGGGGCTGTCATGGTGCAACAGGGGATGGACTGTGTGTTCTTTCAGGTACAGTCCAGATCTTGCCTGGCTGTGCCACTGGAGCCAAGTTAAACAAATGCAAAGCTGAAGCATGAGCGTGTGCTTCTTTCCATCCCCTTTGTGTGGGCAGGAATTCCTTCTGGCAGGTCAGCACACTCACCTGTGCTGCTCAAACTCTGCCTGAAGAGACGTGGTTGGTCCCAGCTAGAGCAGGTTCCAGACCAATTGTTCTATCTCATCTCCTGTGTGGAGCACAGATCCAGCCCTGCAGGCAGCAGTGGAGTCAGGGCAATTCCTCCTTCCCATCTGCAAATGTCCCCTGTGCTGACTGGAGCTCACTTGACTGGAGATGACCCAGTGCTGAGGCTCTGCCAAGGAGATCTCTCTGTGTTCTTCTGTGGAGGGGCCTGTGAGGCCAGAGAGAAAACAAGTGCTAATTAAGGAGAGAACTAAAACTTGGAGCCATTCCTCTGCACCTCAGCCTTGGCACAACACTGCTTTCCTGCTTTCCTCAGACTCACCCAGCAGTGACATCTCCACACGCCGTGGGTCGAGAGCATTGTGCAGGGATGGAGTTGGGGGAGTTCTGATAACTCCTCCCCACTCTCTGCAAAGGCCACTGGCTCAATCCACTGCAACTAGAGAGGAAACAAATTCCCAAAGAGCAGAATTCCCCAAACATGTCACATCAAATCACGGAGCAGCTAATGGGACAGAGCCACGTGGTTAGAGCATGTGCATTCTGCTCTATATCATTAATTTACTGATGTTAAATATTTCAGGAAGTAACTTCCAGGACTTCCAGAACCGTCCTAGTGGCTGTGATCACAAATTATTCATCAGTGGCACTTGAACAAGAAAAACCTTTCTGAACAAGGGCATTTCTGAGGCTCTTGTTGGGTTTTTTTGCCTTTCAGCTGACTCCCTCTGCCTTCCAGAAGCAGATGTCTCTCACCACCAAGCAGAGGCTGGCCAGCATTCCGCAGATTAATCTGCCCCAGATTGTCCAGCATCGAGATATGAGTGAGACCTCCAATCACAAGGTAGCCTTTTCCTGCCCTTTTCCTTGCTCTTTGATGTGGTATTTTTGAAAAGAGTGTCAAAGAGCTTCTCAGCTTGAGCCTGCTCATTATGGTGCAGCAGCTTTTGATCAGCTCAGAGCAGAGGTGGGTGAGCTGCTGTTTCCCCAGGGGGAGCTGGGCAGTACTCAGTGACAGTCTGTACTTCACTGGGGGTCAGTGCAGGATCCTCATTCGTGAACCTTCCTCCCAGCAGCTGAACCTCTCCCTGCTCTCTCTTGCCTCTCCAGGTCTCAGCAGTTGACCCAGACCAGACCTTGTTTCATGTTTTCCCATCAGAGGTGGTATTTCAGAACTACGTCCCACACGAGGTCTGTGAAATGCCAGTGGTTCTGAGGAACAGGGACATGGTGAGTGCTGGGATGTGGAGGTTTAACAGTGTGCTGGAAGAGGAGAGAGGTGCAATTCCTGTGGTGTAAGCAGAGCAAGTTACCTGCTGCAGCACACCCAGAATGAAATGTCTCAGCACCTCTGTTTGGCAAGATGATGGACCTCTTCCCATGCTGGGGATCCTCTCTTGGTTTTGGCTGTGTGTTGGTGGTATCTACCCCAAAGGAGCTTTTATTTGTCTTTGCCAAGTACCGGCCAACAGACAAACAGTGAACTTGCTCTACTCATGCTTCCTCCAATGTAAAAGGACATTTATATTAACATTTCTACCAGTCTTAGTAAAAAATAATTGTCCTACTCTCTCTGGCTGAGCTGCTTTTGCCCAGGCAGATGGGATTCAAGTCCACCCTTGTTTATTATGTGCATGCACCTCCGGAGCTAAAAGTGCTTTGGAAAGGTGTTTAAGGAAGGATGTCACCAGGGCATGGCCAGGTCTCTTCTCTACGTGTTTCCACAAGTGGCAAAATCATCGTTCCATGTCTTTCCTGCAGGTTCCTCGGCTGGTGAAGGTCACGATGGAGAGTTCACCTTATTTCCAGCTGGTTGGCCCCAGCGGTGCGTACCGTAAGGTGCCACCGGGCATGTGTTCTAATTTACGCATTGTCTTCACCCCTGGGGAGAACAAGGTGAGTCTGGAGGTCCCAAGAGGTCAGTGCCTTCAGTGGAAAGTGAACCTGCAGGGCTGGATTCAGGACAGGGCACCTGGCCTGGGTGTTGAGGAGCTCAGCTGGTTTCAGTGGAGTTGCACTGGATCTAGAATTATGGGGTACTCTTTGCCCGTGGTGAAGATGTGGATGAATGCTCTCTGCTGAGGCTGTTTCTTTCTGTGCAGGATTATTTCCACCGTCTGCACCACTGAAAGAGAAGAGTTCATTGTGCCAATTCGGGCCATTGGTGCCCGAGCTGTCCTGGACTTCCCTGACCAGCTGGACTTCTCGGTCTGTCCAGTCAAGTACAGCACCGAGAAGACTCTGATGGTTCGCAACCTTGGTAACAGGGAAGCCCGTTACCAAATCAGCACCCAGAGGTAAAGCAGCTCATCTTTCTTTGTGCAAAACACCTGTGGGTGATAACAGAATTGTAATAGAGTAACAAAGGAACCAGAGCAGGCTCTCCCGAGGGCTGGACCTCCTCAGAAGTGAGCCAGTAGCAGTTTCTCATCCTGTGTGTTCTGCTCTCTGCTGACTGTGGTTGGTTTGCTCCTTCCTTGCACAAGTGAGCTGAAGTGGACTGCAAAAGGAATACCTTCCCCAGATCTCCCCCAAGAGTCCTGATCTCTCTCTGTGTTGCAGCCCCTTCTCTGTCACTCCGACCATGGGAACTCTTGGCATTGGTGACATCCTGCAAGTGACAGTGGAATTTCACCCTCTGCAGACTGGGGATCATTCTGGATCCCTGGTAGTGCATTATGACACAGGTGAGTGCTGGGCACTGCTGGGCTGCCCTGCTGTGCCCTGGGCAGTGAGGAGAAGGCTCTGCCTTTGCAGAGATAAGGCTGGGTTGCTGCACTTGGCATTTGGGGCTGGCACTGAGGCATTAAGAACCACCCCATAGAAATGCCATTTCTAGAGAGCATGTCTGATGTTTGCTGTTTGTATCTTGCCTGGGAAACAATCACCTGCAACAGGAAGGGTGGGATTGGTACTGAAGTTTGTGCCCAGGAGGTATTTGGTTGGGAATAATGAAGGCTTGAAAGCTCTGGAAATGAGGGAGCCTTTGGTCCATTCTAGAGGATGAAATGCCAGCAGGTTCTCCAGCAAATTTCTAGTCCTCCATCAGTTGATATGCACAGCCAGGGGCTCTCTCCTCTTCAGCTCTGTCTGGGGTGGAAAGCAAAGATGTCCTTGCTCTGGTTGTTGAATAGTTTGGGAATCCTCAGTGTGGACTGGCAGGCTCAGGGGCAGGCAGCAGGATCCAGGCTTGCAGGACTGTAATGGGCTGTGCCCCACCAGTCTTGTTCTGACACCTCATCACAAGCCCACAGCAAGTGAGGGCACTGCTGCTACAACACAGCAAAGTCCTCGCCTGTGTCCCCTCCTGCCATGGGCCATCACTTCACTTGTTCTTCTGAGTCTCTCTTTTCTGCCCACATGCCCCCAGGCATTGTTACTTGTCAGAAACAAGGGATCAGGAGAGACAGGAGCTCCTGGAATGCCTGCAGGAGACCCTGGGCAAGCCATGACTGAATGGGGCTCCTCAGAGTCACCTGAATGACTCTGATGCAGAATT